GAGAAACTACTGAATGATTAATTTCTGGTGATCTAAGGTGGCTGTATGCTGTGCTGGTAGACTCTTGTTAGACATAAGCTGGGGCAGATAGGTAGAAGGTTGTTTCAGGCATTATGTGCATCTTCAGATGACAGCAGAGCTGGGGGTTGGGGAGCATTGTCTGTAGATGCTCTATCTGAAGAACAGAAAGCTGACTCTAAAACCTGGTGGTTCCCTTGCTTAGCAGTGGAGTGCCCTGTGTGAACTGCTGTGCCCCTTTTGCTGGGTGCCAGTGCTCACAAGGAAGGAGGGAGCTGCTGAAGGACGTCTGTAGCTGTGTCTCTGCTCCCAGGCTTGTGAGCTGCCACTTGTGGCCAGGCGTCACCCCGACTGCAGCGACAGAGACAGCCTGTGGCTGCCCCTTGGCTGTTGTTGCACCACTTTGGAAGCGTGCACCTGAGCTGTTGGTGCTGTGCACAGTCAGTGGAGGGCTTCAGGTATTTCTGTGGGACTGCAGCAGGTTATTTTGAGCAGGGTTTAATTTTAGCCTTCCTGTGCTTAGTGGCACAGGAACAACTCATTGCTATGCTCACTTAATTTCCAGCATCATCAGCGTCAGGTCCAGTAGGTGAAGTGTAACCTGTTTTTTAGAAACGTTCTTATTCCTGGCAACGAATGACAGGACCTATCAAGGTTTCAACCCAAATTTCTGCATGTTCTCTGTGCTTGACTGTAAGTCTGGGTAGATTATGCCAGACCAGGGGAATGGGAAGTTGTGAAGATTGCGTGGTTGCTGCCTGTGTGAGTGAAAAATGAAATTAAAAGACCTATCAGGTTTTGGAGCGGTGAAGTGGGGAGGCACACGCGCATCAGTGAAAGCAGGCAGTGCCTTCAGCAGAAGCACAGGTGCTCTTTGGTGGAGGAAAACCTGAGTGCACACACGCGGTCAGCGTGCTCGGCACATCGCTTCTCCCAGCTGAGACTGGGGGAAGAGAGGCAGCCAGAGCTTCCTGATCTAAGGTGAGCGAGTGTGTGCCAGGCTAGCAGGGCACATGGGACTGCAGTTTTTTTGGTTTTGTTTCATCTAGAAAAATCTCTCACTGTATAAGAAACTTGTGCTTGGTTTGGTGGAGTTTTTTGTCTCCCTGTAAGCTTATGGCCATATCTCTGGAGTACAGTTTCAGCTGGACATGCTGAATCAGTCAAAGGATATCACTCAGACCTTCAGGCAGCTTCTTCTGTGGGTGCGGATTGACTGTGGAGGCTGCTGTAAAAGACATGCAGCTCTGGGGAGGAGAGAGGTGGCTCAGCAGGACCATGGAGAAACAGGACACGCTTAGCTCAGTGTCCGCACAGATTCATGTGGAAGGCAGCTCTCCTCTTACCCTGCTGGCTGTTGGCAGTAGCAATAGTGCTTCTGTGATTTAAATAATTCAAACTTAATTTTCCTGTGGTGTGAAAGCCCTTCCTCCGATCCCTGCTGAATGTTAGTGTTGCTAGCTGTCCCTTTGGCTTGCTGTGCAGAGGGAAAAGGAACCTGGTTTGCCTGAGCTGGGACACGTACCACGTCCTGCAGCCAGTGCCCTCCTGGTTCTCTGGTGCAATTTGCCTCTCTCTTATCAATATTTCTGTGTTTTATAGCCCACGTCCCTGTCGCTGGCGTCCTGAGTGAGAAATCACAGAAAGTATTTTGCATAACTTGGTATTGTACAGTGGGGAAAATTGTTAGTAAACAGTTTCATATCAGTTTTACTGTTCCCCTCTCCCTCTGTCTGTGCCTTGTGTCGTCTTTAAAGAAAGCTAAGGCACACTACCTAATATCAAGTGTTTTAATGCCTTTTATTAAGAAGTCCTCATAGGAATGAGGTTGGAAAGTAGCATATTTATGTCCTCCTTTACATCCTATAAATTATCATTGGAAATCAAAACCTGAAGTGGAACTTAGCAGCGTGTCTAGTTATAGGGCAGTGAAAAAATGTCTTTAACTCATATTTGCAGATAGTGTGCTCTGCTACTGACCACTTGCTTGACTAAGAAGGATATTCTCAGCAACAGGTAGACCAGCAGCCAAAGTCCTCCATCCATTCTTAAACTATACACCAATGATCCAACATGCCAGACCACGGGAGGGAGGAATAAGTCAATACACTCACTCGCTGCGTATTGTGTGAAGAAGGGTTCTGACTCCAGAACCATGGCATGGTAGATGGAACCAGCCAGATGAGGAGTCCAATTATGTAGTAGTTCCTCAGAGACTCCTCATCTTGCTGCACCATCCTGGGACCTTCACTTGCTATGAAGAGTCAGGAAGCCCTTTCAATAACCAGAACCCCCACACAGCTCATGCACTGTGTGGGCAGGCCTCCCAACTCTACTACTGGCAGAGTCAGCTCTTATAGAGGTGGCTCTTTGCCCTGCTTCCAAGTTAATGTGGAAGGCAGGGGCACTGCCCTGGGGCGCAGGTACAACTGCCTGCCTCCCAGGAGCTGCTGATCTCTGGCAAAACCTGTCCAGAAATTGTCATTGCAGTAAACAGTATTGCAGCGTTGTTGCTACAACATCAACATGTTTCCTACAGTGTAATCAGCTGGGCCTCGAGCTGTTGCCTCTAGGCTGGCCAGGATTAATTTATTAGGATGTGCAGCCTTTGCTTTCTGTGTTCCTATGACTAATCTTAATTCTGAAACAGTTCAGCCAGGGTTCTGGCTTCTGTTGAAGTGAAAGGACCAGCGACCTGCTCTGGCAGCAGAGTGCCTGGCAGCAGATGGCTTAAGTGCACTCCCAATGGTGAAGAAGAGTTTTCCCACCTTTCTGGAAAAAAAGGCAAGCAGCTTGGTATGGTGCCTGCATGCCACACCAGACAGCAGTGCTCCCCTACCCCAGGAGCAGTCAAGTGGAGAACTTAGAAGTAAGATTCATTCTCTTAATCTTCCAGGATCAGGCTCAGTCTAAAGGGTGTTGAAAATATTGATACTGGTGATAAAGTTCAGTTAAGATCCTTAAGGAGTCTCTTACAAAATCTCTTGACCAAGAGGAAAATATTTTTGAGGAAAATATTGGTTAGATTTTTCTGTGATAACTCATGACTGAGGCAGGAAACAGATTTAGATATGCGAAGCCTTCAAAATAGCCTGAAAGGTGACTTTGGTGGTCTCCATGGAAACTCATCTGTTCTGTAGCTTTGCAGAGTACTTATACAAGAGCTGCTGCTTGGCTTTAAAAAAAAAATAATAAAATCAACCTACCTTAAAACACAAACCCCAAACCTGCTATATCTGAATTTGGGGTGGTCCCAGACATACAGTGAAGCATGGCCTGTAGCAGAGGGGGGTGTTTCTGGGCCCTTCTAAAGCAGCTCTGCTGGACAAAAGGTGGATGTGACTTTATGGGTTGCTGACTGCCGTTTAGGTTACGGTGGCTGCTGCAGGGAGAAGTGGCTTTGCAGGAGGGACTCCTTGGTTTGTGTTCAGCTGGTGCAAGTAAGACTGCAGGACGCTCTCTGGACTTTGCACGTGTCCTGTTGCTGTGACTTTCAGGTACACAGCATGCTCTGGCTAGCTGCCAGTCTCTATTCTGGGAACAACCTGAAAAAGAAATAGCTTGAAAAATAATTTACTCAAATTTTGTTGAGATTTAGGAATTATGGAATGACACGACTGGTTTCTGGATGCTTTTGAACCGTCTGTAGTATGCATGGCTGGAGGTGGAAGCCTGAGGCATCTCTGTTGGGTGGCATCTCTGAGGCTTTCCCCAGGAGGGTATAAGATGGGAGCATGGAGGTTGGCCAGATGCTGCAGCAGGCAGGCTGCTGATGGGTGCCTGGTTGTGAGCAGTGGTCCCACTTGGCTGGAGGAGGCCGACTGGAGAAGAGCAGCATGGTGCTGCCCCTTCTTGCTACTCTTCAGCTACTTCTGAACCTTCAAACAGGAGGCAGGTTCTCCTTGTGAGAACACGCTACTTTCTAAAAAGAAAAGGGACAGAGAAAATGCACAAGAATTTTAGTCCTCATTCTAAGGCATCTGCAAGTTCCTCTGCATTCTGCAAATGCTAAAACTGAGCGTGGGGTGGGAGTGCACCGAGTGCATCTTCCAAGAAGCTAGAACCAAGCAATAAAAAGGAGAGTTTTCTTCAGGCTTTCTGAAACACTGATGTCTCTTCTGATGGTTCTTCCCTAGCTGTAAAACAACCATTAAAGAATTGAACTGACCTGTATTTTCAGAAGGACCCAGGCAGGACTGTGCTCCAGATCCTTAGGTCCAAAGGAGAATCTCTACAAAAATCAGCTGTGATGACTTCTCTAAGAGCTTATCTAAGCCATCTGTTTTAAATGTGAAGTGTATCAGTTTCTTAACTGAGATATGATGTTACAACATTTTCATAGTTACGCCTGGATTTGCTTTGTTTGCCTTATTCTGAGCAAAGCAAAGAGCTTTCTCCCCAGACTAGGTGTTTTCTGTTCTTGTGTTTAATCAAGCTGGACCATAGTGCTCAGATCAATGAGCCCAAATGCTCATGTTGTAGTTCACCCCTGTGTGGAGCAGTCAGTTGCTTTATGTGGAGATGGTCCTTTGGGTTTTTTAAATATTTCCCTCTGGTGTTTCTCGGGACCAATCCAAAGAGCACCTTCTCTTTCCTCTGGCTCCGTTCTTTTCACCTTCACAGTTGGCTCTCACGGTGTGTTTTCTTTCACACAGACAAATTGCTCTGGCACTGACATGACGTGTACATGGCCAGGGCACGGTCGGGCACGCAGCACTTGGCTGCCTTTGCCAAAGGTGCTTTCATTTGGGCTGCCTCTGTGGCCACCCTGAGGGTTTTTTTGTGTGTGAGGGCATCTCTGTTTGCTCCTCCAAGCCTTGCTCGGGTTACAGTACCTTCCTTGTGTCTCCTTCCTGAGGAGAGAGTAAAACCATCTCCAGTGGGGAGGCAGATGACTGAGGATACAGCCATGTGACCTTTGTAGTTGGCATTCAAGGAAGAAAGGAAGATGGATGGTGTTACTTTAGCATTCTGTCTCTCTTACAGAGCCAGGTGACACCTTGGTGGCCCAGGAAGCATGCAGCTGTGGCACTGGGGGCCCTGAAGACTGTCTGGCTTGCAGGGAGGAATGCTACGGTGGGCAGTGCACTTGGAAGGTGGGCCACGGAGGGTGAACCACGCGGCCGTGGCCGTCGGGCACAAGGTCTATTCCTTTGGAGGCTATTGCTCTGGAGAAGACTATGAGACCCTGCGGCAGATCGACGTCCACGTTTTTAACGCAGGTAAACGTGTCCCTGTGCAGGAAGGAGTGGCTTGCTGGGCTCTCTGATTTGTTCTCCTACCCACTGCTGCTTAACACGTTGCATGCGCTCTGTGACATGCTGTCCCATGCTCATTTCAAAAAAAGTTACCAGTGTAGGTGGGAGCCTCTTCCCTTGTCCAGCCCTGCGTTTTCAGCTGCAGGGGCAGGGCACAGAGGAGCTCTGGTTCAGCAGGTTAATTTCAGCAGGTTACTAGGAGAAGGACTCACTAGAAGTAGCCACGTAGCCAGTGGCTCGTTTGATCCTTGTTCTCTGTGAACACTAGCTGAACCAGGGGCAACGTTTAGCTCCCTCAGGTCCTCCCTCCAGTGTGCAGTGTGACCATGCTCAGCTGCCCCTAGTGTGGAAGGGGCAGTGCAGGAGCCAGTGCACTCACTGAAGTGTCCAGGTTTAAACTCCTGAGCCTGGGGCAGCTGACAACCACTGCTAGCATGGTGGAGTCAGCAGGGGCATGTGGCCAGGATGATGGAGGCCTTCCCATTTCAGCAGTAGCTGTCGTGCAGATTCACAACATAGCTTAGAAAAGCATCTGGAGCTAGAGCCATTTGTGTAGGACAGCCAGTGTCTGTTAGAGGCTGAGTTGGAGCCACAAGCGTGCTGAGAGAGGCTGTTTTTCTTGATTCAGTGCTCTTTGAACTGAAGAGGTCACTGAGCTGTTCCAGGAAGTATCTCCCTATAATTAGGCAGGTGGTTGAAAAACTGCACAGCTGCCTGGGTGGGTACAGCTGAACAGAGACAAGAGCAGAGAAACAATGACCGTTTTTGTAGATTGGACAGCATGCTGAATGCTCTCCTGACATGCATGTGGCATGTAGATTAAACTAGTTTGTAAGATGCAGGGAATTCACTCCACTAAGTCTGACTGTGGAGAAGACCTGTTTGTGCAGTATTGGATGAAAGCATTGGCTGCACAGGGGTGCCAGGGTGACCTCACAGTGTAGAGAGGAGTGTGGCTCAGGATATGGTGAGCAAAGACATTCATCTCTATTCAGAGATGGACTCTCACACTCAAGACAGTTGAACGTTGTAGTCTGTAAAATAAACCAGTAGAATCATAGAATCATTAAGGTTGGAAAAGACCTCTAAGAACATCAAGTCCAACCATCAACCCAGCGTTTCTATGACCACTAAACAATGTTCCCAAGTGCCACATCTACATGCTTTTTAAACACCTCCAGGCATGGTGACTCCAGCACCTCCCTGGGCAGCCTGTTCCAGTGCCTCACCACTCTTTTAGGAAATAAATTCTTCAAATATCTAATCGAAACTTCCCCTGATGCAACTGAAGCCCATTTCATCTCGTCCTGTCACTAGTTCGAACACTGCTTTTATAGTGGAAGCCTAATTACTGTGCCCAAAGGAGTACTCTTGCATTGTCTTCCCATCTTACCACTCCCAAGTACTGAAGTCTCATGATGCTGCAGCCACCATGTCGGAGGTGACACTGGCTTCCCAAGCCCTTGCGCAGTTAGCGTTGCCAGGTTCCAGTGCTGAAGCCAAGATACTGGGTTTTGGGGGATCTCTTTCAGCCTTCCAAAGAGGAAGACTGTTTTAGGTCAGGCACGGGCTGTGCTTCCTCAGCATCCTTTCTGCCTCAAGGGTAGATGCTTATCTTTTAAGATGCCTTTCCCTGTGTTAGTATTGCAGGGGAACTGCAAACTGCTTTCTGCTATATTTTTGTGTTATCTATGTGTTGAAAACAAATCGGGAAGCTGCATGTGTGGTAGAGGGAGGATGTTTAGCTGATGTTATGTCATGGCCATATAACCCTCACTGTGACTCTTGCACTGTCATTAAACCCTGTCACATCTGTTGACTGCTCTGGCTACTGCTGAACGTGACAAACAGGCTGCCAGGATGGAGAGCCTGTAATCACAGGCAACTCCTCTTAGTAACACAAGGTTACCAGGGAGGGCATGGGTATGGATGGGGCTAAAGGAAACAGACAGTTGCCTCATCTACAGCTTAAAAAAATAAAACAAAAGCACACCAACCCTGTTCCTGTGAAGTTGCTGCATTGCCTTACTTAAATTGCACTACTGCAAATCCAAATGATGCCTTCAGGTGTGTTCCCTTGCACATGGCTGCAGTGAATTATTCCTGTGCTGCTCATTCTTCCAGCTTTGAGTCTCTTCAAAAATGCCACTAGCCTGAAATAGTACCTGCATTTGTTATCACCTCTGCACTTTTTCTTATTCCTTTCCCTAATTTGTGTGTGTGCGTGCTGTACCTTCACTAGAATAAGTGAGAGTGTAAAACTCTTCACTCTAATTGATGCAGAATGAAGCCTAGTTTTGTGCAGAGTCCTCTGGTCCTCCAGTGATTCCTCTAGTCTCGACTGTGATGGGGGCCTGTGGAAAACTGTGCTTCCACATTTCTGAGCTCCTACTCAGGGCCAGACACAGCTTTGTCTTGCTTACTAGACTGCTTCTGCATCTTGTCAAAGGGGAAAGAAGTGCCAGGCAGGATGGGTTGTGATCTGTGAGCCTGTGTAGCGGGCTTTGTGTTTGACATGGGCTCAAACTTGTGCTTTCAGTGTCTCTGCGCTGGATCAAGCTGCCTCCAGTGTGGACAAACAGCCGAGACCATGTGAGAGAGGTGCCCTACATGAGGTATGGGCACTCAGCAGTGCTCATAGATGACACTGTCTACATATGGGGTGGCCGCAACGACACGGAGGGAGCCTGCAACGTGCTCTATGCCTTTGATGTCAGTAAGTTCCAGCTTCACACTCTTCCTTGTCACAACTGCTCTTGAGGAGATGTCTCTGCCCCACCACGCTGCTCCACAACTTGCTTTCCTGCCCTACAAAGTCACAGTCTGGAGGAAATGGTGCAAAGGAGGAACTGGTGTTTCTGCCTTTATCAGCAGGCTTAGAAGGGGAGCAGGGTGGCTAGCGTGTCTGAACATTTGACTCCCCATAAAAGCCTTTGAACAGAGGTTACTGAGCTTGTCTAAGACTCAGACTGGTTTTAATTATTCTACCAGCTTTGTGTGCTCTCTCAGATCGTAACTACAACTGAAGTGTTCTTTGTGAGGAATTGTTCCTTAACTGTGGCTGAAGGTTGAAGCAAGAAGGAGCTAGAGCTCTTGAGGATTGTGGTTCCTCTCCAAGGCGGTCCTCCTGTCTGAAAGTATGAAGGAGAGTGAGAAATAAAACACAGAAGTAGTCAAGGACAAGATCCCAAAATAAGGGAAGACACGAGTCAAGTTTGATAAACCTGAAAGATGAACTCCTTGAGCATTTTGTTTGGCTTCTCTGTGGTGCTGCTGTAGCAGCTGGGGAGAATAGGCATCATCATGAACTGCGTGGGCAGGAGTGTCAGGAAAGGAAGGGGTACATCAGGATTCCGGAGGCAAGTCCATCTAAATGCTGACCAGTAACGGGCTTGCTGGACTTGAAAGGAAACTTCTTGCTCTGGTCATGGGTTCCCCTCTCAACCAGGAAATGTCTCACAGCTTGGAGCTGGTCTCAGGGCACAGGGTGTCCCCGTTCCCCAGACACATGCAGCTGGGAAGCCACCAGTAAAACTCTGCCTACGCAGAGTGAGAGCTGCCTGGTCTTCCTGCCAACTCCAGCACTTTAGCATTAAGTGAAAATTAACAGAAAGGCCAGACTTCAGTCCTGGTCCAAACCCCCTGCAGCCATCTGTCCTGTGCCAACCCCGGAAAGTGAAGCTGGCACTTGCAGTCCTGTGTCTGGTGTGAGTTCCACCATGGGAGTCACATTTGTGCTGGATAAAGTCCTGGCTGAGCCAGTTTTCTCCCCCGAGGTGCTGAGTGGATCACAAGTCAAGGTCTTTTCCATCTCTGATTTGACGTGTGGCGCTTGGGTGAGCCCTTGCTGCTGCTGTGTGACTGGGCTTGGAAGCAGCCCCATGAAGGAAGGGAACTCGATAGCCACTGCAGCTTTCTCACTAGAGGCTGCCCAGGAATTCTGCTGACCTTACAAGACCCTTTGTGTGGTTCCAGCTGGAGCCTGGGCGGATAGTTGTGGCCACAGGCCAAGTTCAGAGAAGTTATCCTTGTGAAGAATGTTGCTTTGGCTCCAATGTTACTGCTTCCTGAAATAAGCACTGCTCTTGGCAGCTCACCTCAGTTAGGAAGGGTGAGGGCAATGTCTTCTGCTGCCTCAAGGCTTATCTGTGCCTCTCTGGACTCTTGGGACAGGTGCCTGTTTGTGCTTGGCAGTGAGTCACTGGCTTGGGTCCAGACTGCCGTGGCACAGAGAACAGTTCTGGCTGGATTTGAAGTCCACTCCTAAATCAAGCCAGCCCCTGCAGTGTGCAGGCTGAGGGGCTAAATCTGGCTGGTGGAGACTTGCAGGGAGCAGTGCGAAGGGAACCATGGGGAGTGGATTGTGAGGAAGGCTCCCCTTGAGGAGGGGAGGAGAATCTGACAAGAGGAGCAGGTAAGATAGGGAAAGCTTTGCTGCAGAGGCAGGGATGTGTACCATAGCTCTGTTGGCATGGTAAGCTTGTGGTTAAGTGAGTTCTGCCTGGATTTGAGCAACCTGTTTTTCCTCAGTTTGTCAACATCTCCAAGCCATGAGGTCAGTTAAGCCTCTTAGCATCATTGCTTCGTTGCAATCGCAGCCATAAATGTAGAGTTGATAAGTGACCCAGATGCAGACTTTGCAAGAGATTCAATAACAATAACATTGCTCAAGCCATGCTATACTTCTCACGCTTCAAGCACGAGCTGTTTACCAGGTCAGGCAGAGTCAGCAGCCGTGCCCAGGACCTGAGACCCTGTCACCGTGCCCCTCTGTGGAGGCTCAGGCAGGGAGCCTTGCCTGAGGAACCTTGTAGCCTCCCCAGAGAAGCAGGTGCTGCGTGTGAGGGAGAGAGAAGGATTTCTGTCTTAGAAAGGAAGAACAGTAGTAAAGAGCTCTCCCATCCCAGCATCCACTGCCTTTCCTTAGCATTGCCTCCTGTTTTGTTCCAGACACGCACAAGTGGTTCACGCCAAAGGTGTCTGGAGTGGTCCCAGGAGCCCGCGATGGGCACTCGGCTTGTGTCCTGGCAAAGAGCATGTTCATCTTCGGAGGCTACGAGCAGCTGGTGAGGAGTCTCTGCAACTCTTACTTGTGATCCCTTGGGAAAGAGGGTGTTCCTGTCCAGGATGCTGGTAGAAGCTGAACAGAGAAGTATATTTGTATCCATAGGTGCTTTCACTTTATAATTCAGCAAAGTTATGGCGTTAATTACCCAGGTGATGCTTGTTCTTTTGCAGAGAAGATGGTTGGGAGAGGAGGCTTTAAAAAATGGTGGATTTTTTTTTTTCTTCCCAAAACATATAGATATATAGAAGTAAAAATATTTTTTTTCTGGATCATTTCTCATCCAAATTTATTTAAGTACACACCATTTTTAGTAAATATATATTGATCTACATTTCTTATAATTTGGCTGAGAAATGAAACAGAAAATCGCTTTACCATATCTGTAGTGTTGCTGTGAGGTTCTGTCCTAATCTGGTGCACGTTCCTTGTATTCTGTACCTGTTCTCACATGGTGCTGATCCCCTCAGGCAGCAAACACTTGCCCTCTGTTGCGTGAAGGGAACGGGGCAGGTGTGGGTAAGGGAGGGACAAGTCTGGTAAGAGACAAGGACACAGACCCCACTGATCTTCACTCAGCCCCTGTGTCTGCACTGGCACCAGATGTTTGTTGCAGCGTCAAGCTGTGTGATTTGTGCTTCCTGGATCTGATACCCTCCCATGAAGAACACCTTGAGCTGAAGGGCATCCTGAGGCCAGATGTAATCATGCTTCTCAGTCCCATTGTGACCAGGCTGCCCTGTTGTCTTCCAGGCTGACTGCTTTTCAAACGATATCCATAAATTGGACACCACAAACATGATGTGGACCCTAATCTCTGCCAAGGTCAGTGTCTGCTTGTCAGTCTGGGTTTGTGGTGGAAAGTCTTGTATCTGCTGTTCTCTGGGGTAGCTGCCCACATTGGTCTCGCAGCTTCTGTCTGGTGTGGCTGGGATCTTCAGGAGGGCAAGATCTCCAGGCAGCCACCCCAACTTCCTCACCAAGTTGTCATGTCCCTGGGTAATGTGCATTCCTTCTCCCATTCTGTTTTGCTCTGTCCCCTCAGGGTACACCAGCTCGCTGGAGAGACTTCCATTCAGCTACCATCATTGGAACAAAGATGTACGTGTTTGGTGGCAGAGCTGATCGTTTTGGGCCCTTTCACTCCAACAATGAGATCTACTGCAACCGCATTAAAGTGTTTGATACAGAAACCAACTCCTGGCTGGACTCCCCTCCCACTCCAGTGCTCCCTGAAGGCCGGCGGAGCCATTCAGCATGTGAGTGTGGGTCTGCTGAGAGAGGAGGACAGTGGAGGAGGGAGGTTCCCACCTGCATCGGAAGGGGTGTCTGGTCTGCTGGGTGGAGACGTGGGTTAGCAAGGGGTGCACAGAACCTGGCTTCTGTGGAAAGCTGCTGCCCACCAAAAGGCCTCGTGCGTAACCCTGCACACAAGGGGGATGCCAGGGCAGGTGGATGCCAGGGCAGGTGGATGCCAGCTTTGTGTCTGGTGCTGGGACAGGGACCTGCTGGGCTCTGCCTCGGGTGGCACACTGACGTTTGTTTGCTCCCCACAGTCAGCTACAATGGGGAGCTCTATGTGTTTGGTGGCTACAACGCACGCCTGAACAGGCACTTCCACGACCTCTGGAAATTCAATCCAGGTATTTATGCTTTTAACTTGTTGCAGTGATGATGCTTAAGGCCCTGAGTGTGAGGAATCTCCACGTGATGGAGGAGTGGTGAGCTCCAAGGGCTAGGAACTGCCTGCTTGGGGGGAACAGCTCTTCTAACAGCGTTGACAGGAACTTGCTGCTGTGCTTTGTATCCCTGTTACTCCTCAGACTTGTCTCCAAATCTCAGTTAGAAAGTGAAAAAGGAAGTGTTGCTAAAAGACACAGCTAACCAAAGGATGGCTGGCAAAAGCCATTGTGTTCTTAAACATGCATAAGTGTTGGCAGAAAAGATGATGTGGGGAAGCAATGGGGCTAGGGGCGTGAGAGACTGTGGCTGGGGAAACCCCTCAACTGCAACTGCAGGATCACCATACCACACTCTTTGTACCAGATCAAACTGTGCAGCAGAAAGAGTGGATCTTCAGCTGGTACCCTGAGTATCAGTCAATTGTGAGCTGTTTTGGGGTCCTCAGTCCTTGGGCAGTTTTCACTGTTCTTTAGACTGATTTTGTTTGCTAATTGCTTTGCATAGTAAAGCTACCTGAGAGCAGCCAACTTGTCAGTCCCCAAGCTGATCTATGAGCTAGTGTGAGAGCTCCTGAAGGTTTCAGTGCTTAGCGTTAGTGATTAATGACCTCTCAGAAGCCCTGCCACAGAGACCAGCAAGGACAAAGGCTGCTGTCTTCTCCACCTGGGTCAGTTCCTCATGCTCCCCTCCCACAGCTAAGCTGTCCCAGTAGTCTCCCTTGTGAGGTCGCCCTGCATTCACAGTGCCTGCCAGGAGATGGAGCTGGTTCCTGAGTCTCCTTCCAGACCTGGACCACAGCAGGGTGCTGGGGCAAGGGGCTGGCTGCCTGCCTGCTCCTGGAGCTCTGCCCTGTGATGTCCGACCTGCTGCTGTGGCAGCAGTGAGTCCTGGCACCCAGGCTTTGCAAGGCCTCGGCCTGCAACTCCCGTCTCGGCGGGCAGAGCTCCAGGGCTGTGCCTGGCAGCTGGACAACACTTCAGTAACAACCACAGAGAAGCACATTGTTTTGCCACTGGTGGATGTTGGCTAGTTGGTATCTTTGGGGCAATAGGCCTCCAGTTTTTCTGTGATTTGTGTAAATCCATCCAAGCTGGTGCACTCTTTTCCACCCCTTAGTTTCTCTTTCTTGGAGGAAGATTGAGCCCAAGGGGAAGGGCCCGTGTCCTCGACGCCGGCAATGCTGCTGCAGAGTGGGGGACAAAATCATTCTCTTTGGAGGCACCAGGTGAGTAGTGTGGGGTAGCTCTGTGAGAGAGTTTGCTCTTCCCTTTAGCACAGTGTTCCTCCTCACTCTGCCCCACGCTGTAGTCAGATGCACTTCAGAGGCACTTGGCAACTGCCCAACTACCTTACAAGTTGAGAAGTCATGAAGATCAGGGCTCCTCAGGGAAAAGTAGGTCAGAGATGTCATGCAAGCTTGTAAAGCACCTGGTGACAAGCCCTCTTGTACAAGAAGAGGCAGAGGTACGTAGCACACTGTTCAGGAGCAGCTATGCTGTGGTCAGGATTTCTGTGAAAGAGGTGGTGGGGAGTGGGGAGGAGATCCTGCCATCAGAAGGACAAGTATCCTAGTCTGCTGTGCTGTACCAGACCTCAGAGCAACTTGCCCTCCCCTACATGCCTCCCTGCTTTTCCCACCAGAGTTTTTCTTTCTTTGTCAAGCATGGTGCCTGCCAAGCTGCAGTGGGATGTTGGCTCAGCTGGGAGCTATCTGAGGAGACCACCAGGCAACGTTCTGTTCTGTGCCAGTGTTTCTTAGCAAAGTTTCCATTCACAACAGGGACTTGGTGTTAAGGACTTAGCTGTCAAACAGTGGGAGCGATACTCCCCGGGTGTGGGGCAGCTGCATGTGGCCAAGAGCCTTAACAGCTGCTAAAAGGGAGGAAGTGGCCCATCACCAGGACACACTGTGCTGTCTAGAATGACAAATTGTAGCTGTGGAGCACAGGCCTGTTTGCCAGCACAGAATCAGAGAATCACTGTGGTTGGAAAGGACCTCCAGGATCATCAAGTCCACCCTTCATCCCAGCATTTCCCTAACCACTAGACCATAGCCTCAAGTGCTACATCTACTTGTTTTTTGAACCCCTCCAGGGATGATGACTCTACCACCTCCCTGGGCAGCCTGTTCCAGTGCCTCACCACTCTCTCAGGGAAGAAATTCCTCTTAATATCCAATTGAAACTTCTCCTGGTGCAACTTGAGGCCATTTCCTCTTGTCCTATCATCAGTAATTTGGGAGAAGAGACCAACACCAGCCTCACTACAACCTCCTTTCAGGCAGTTGTAGAGAGCAATAAGGTCTCCTCTCAGTCTCCTCCAGACTGAACCACCCTAGAGCCCTCAGCTGATCTCCATAAGACATGTTTTCCAGCCCTCTCACCAGCCTCGTTGCCCTTCTCTGGAGCTGCTCCAGCACCTCCATGTCCTTCTTATCCTGTGGTGCCCAAAACTGGACACAGCACTCAAGGTGGGGTCTCACCAGTGCCGAGTCCAGGGGCACGATCACCTCCCTGCTCCTGCTGGTCACACCATTTCTGATCCAGGCCAGGATGCCATTGGCCACCTGGGCACACTGCTGGCTCATGTCCAGTCTGCTGTCCACCAACACCCCCAGGTCCTTTTCCACCAGGCACTTTCCAGCCACTCCTCCCCAGGCCTGGAGTGTTGCCTGGGGTTGGTGTGACCCAAGTGCAGGATCCAGCACTTGGCCTTGTTAAACCTCATCCAACTGACCTCAGCCCATTGCTCCAGCCTGTCCAGACCCCTCTGCAGAGCCTTCCTGCCCTCCAGCAGATCGACACTCCCACTTAATGTCATGTCATCTGCGAATTTAGAGGGTGCACTTGATCCCCTCATCCAGGTCACTGATACAGATATTAAACAAGACCAGTCCCAAAACCGGTGTGTGCTCGAGCTGTGCAATGTCCATGTGGGTGTGAGGGAATGCTTCCTGCAGGTGAGGTGTGCAGAGGTGCTGAGTCTATCCAGTTTCTCCCCACAGACATCACACACAGCTCTGTGGGGTAGAAGGTTTGCTGGGGCTTGATGGCAGCAGTTTTGGATGCTCCCAGATGCCACGGTGTGAATTTGTGTTACAGCAGCAGCTGAACTCTGATGTTAAACCTAGGCACTCCTAGGACATGCTAACAAATTACAACAAAATTGACACCAGCCTTTTGGAGTTTGGTCTATCTCTGCCAGACAGTGCCTTGTGTACTCCACTAAGCAATTCCAGTATTCAGTTTGTTCCTTAATCCAGGCTCAAACCCAATGCAGGGCCAGTTCATCTGCACTAGTCTGGGACAAGAGGAGCTCCTGGCAGTCAGGAATGTGGCCCGCTTGGACTGGAGGGGAGGGTCTTGCAGGCTGGGGAAGGGGGAGATGGGGGAGTGGGGGCTGTGCTGGCTTCCTGTGACAGTTATCAGGTGTATTCTGGAGCTGCCTGGCGAGATAAGAAGTTTTCCGGGAAGTCGCTGTAATGGAGAAGTCTCTGTGGGTCTGCCTCCTGACCTGTGCTCCCTGCCCGGGGAGGAGCAGGGGGAGGGGGAGGTGCCCGGGCTCCTGGTGGGGGGAGCCAGCAGGCTCAGCTTGCGAGGCAGCAGCGCCGGGGCACAGGCAGGCAAACCCCCTGTGTGTGAATCCTGCCTTCCCTTGGAGCAGTCACGTACCCTGTAGAGTACTCGGGAGGTGCTGCAGCAGGGTGCCTGCTCGGGTGCCATCCAAACACTGAATCTTTTGTAGACCTGCCCAGAGCCTGGTCTTTTTGCCCCGGCTGTGTTCTCTCGCTGTGACCAGCAGCAATCCTGGCACTTGTGTCCCATTTAAGCGACCAGGAATTCATCTAGCACTAAGCTCTGTGTTCCCCTGAGCTCTGTCACCATTGTGATCCTGATCTGCTTTCTTCCCAAACCCACCAACACTTCAACACGCAGAGAATGAGGGAGAGGGGGAACGATGTACAACAGAGTTTTGCTGAACAGATGCCAGTCCAGGTTTGGCTTCAGGCTGTTTTCCCCTGACAAGGCTTAGAAACGTCTGGCTCTGGTGAGGGTGTGGGGGCTCTCGCTGGGTGCTGGGTGCAGGGCCCACGACCATTCACCTCCATGCCAAGTTGCTGTGCAGCTGGAAGGAGCAGTTTTGCTGGGCTCTGGCTGACAGAGGGGTGCCCTGCACCCTGCTGCCTGGGAGTTGCAGCTCTTCTGGTCTTGAACTCGTGGCTTTCCCCAGCCACTTGTGTTTTGGTGATTAAAACCACAGACATGGTGCCTGCTGGCTTTTCTTTGAAAGATAAGGTTTGGTTTAGGGTTTCTAGTGACGTGGATGTGAGATTAGATTGCGGCGTGGTGAGCACACAGTGGTGGAATTAACGGGGCTCTTGCCTGTGTCCGGGCAGATGGGACCCATCAGCAACAGGTCTTCTCTGTCAGCAGCGTGCTGTGCCCTGCAGTTTGTACTGGGGTGATGGGAGTCGGGGGGGGTGGGGGGGGGCAGGGCTGTCTCGGAAGCTTAGTGGGGCATAGGTGGGGAAGCAAATGACGCCGGGGTGAGAAGTCACTGCATGAGGTCTCAGCTAAACAGTGAGGACATGCTAAATTGCCTCGTCACAAACCAAAGCAGGACTGAAAACACCTTTCCTTAAATTCTCCAAACAACCATCAGCTGTGGGAGTGCTTCCCCCTGGTCCACACACAACTGTTGCAGCACAGGCTGCTCTGTGTGCTAGGGGGGTGCAGTGACCTGTCTCTCGGGTGCTTTGGTTATTCCATCAACACTGCAGAGGCAGGAAATCATAGGTGAGGTTGTTTGTTCCCTAGAGACACGTGAAGTAGTAGCTCCTCACTAGCATTCCAGATCCAACATCCTGTGGGAATATGAGTGAATTTGGATTGGTTTAAAATGGCTGCTGCAGTGATCGGTGCCTCACACATGCTCATGTCCAGCCTTCTGAAATGCTGTCTCCATTTTGGCATAACCAGGGAGCTGTGGCTGGAGCCCGAGTCAGGCTGAGAAGTGCCTGTGCTTGCATTGCCATGCAGATTATTCCTAGCTGCTTCCTCCACCCTTCTCTCACAACATCTCCGTGGCCATGCTGCAATAATTGATGTAGATCTTAACCATGTGGAGCAATGAGCAGTGTGTGGCTGGGCAGAATCTGTTTCAAACTTCGTGCTGTTGTGCTTGGCACACAACTTCAGCTCATGCAGCAGAACCCAAAGCAGTCCAGCTGCTGGCCTAGTCAGTGGAACACAAGCCAATAAAACAGCTTTTTTTGGCTGTGGGTTGCTAACCTGTGGGCATTTGCTGGAGAGTTTGTGCTAATGCAGCAGATACGTAAGGACAAAGAGGGAAACTGCTACAAAGCCAGGTGAAGACCTCAGTGTCTGCTTCAGGTGCTTATTTGCTGCTGCTGCCTTTACTCCTCTGTAGAAAAAGTTGAACTTCTGCAAAGCACCTTCCACACTGTCCTCAAAGAAAGCGTTTTTGCTTACCACACTCCGGCCCACGGCAGTGCTGTGGCAGTGTGGTGCAGCACGTGCTGCCTCTGTCCCCAGCAGCATCAGTGCTCCTGAGAACTTACAGACATGAGAGTCTAGCTCACAGGTTTCTGTAGCGTGACTCATGAGTAACACATGGCACGTGGCAGTCTCCAGATGTTTTGTGAAGCCCTGGGAAGATAGAGCTGAGGTGGGCAGGGAGAGCACAGCAGTGTTGCCTGCAGTATATGGCTCCTTTTGTTACTTCACCAGGTTGCAGAAAATTTGATGGCCACTGGCTGCTTGCTGAGTCTGCCACCATCACTGGAGACAGACCATGGCTCACGTGATCTGTGGCCCTGCCACACAAGTGGAAGGCCTTGCAAAAAGTCCTCTTGGGTCTCCAGTTTATCTCACCCACCTCAGGGGGAACACCAACACAGCTTTTTGGGCTTTGTACTGTGCCATTATGTGGTGCCTGATTCTTCCTAAATCAGACGCCTGTCCCGTGTGATGTTCTCCCAAACCCTCGTACTTCCCATCGCATGCCTCCCCTTGGCCATGAGGTCCATAAAAAGACATGGTGTGGGCTGTGCCATGCTGCCCCACATGGTGTTTGAGGCCAGGTGGGGATGGGCTGACCCCTGTCTCCCCAGGTGTTTTGATCTGCACGTGTTTGCTAACGTCCTACTTGGGCAGCCTTCCATGACCCATGATTGCTGTGAAGCTAGTTAGACTCCAGCAGTGCACTAGGTTCCCCAGGGCCTGTCTGGCCCTGCCTGCTGTGGAGCAGCCCATCAGGCCTGTTTATCACACAGAGTGGGACAGATGCTTGTGTGAGCAAAACTGCCATCAGGAACTGCTGTAACATCCCTTCCCCAGCCTGCTCAGAGTTATCCTCAGCCTTGTCCCAGGGCTCAGCTTTGCCTCTATGAGCGGAGCTCTTTGGAGGGTTGAATCCATGGAAATTACTGAGCAGAGCCCTGAAAGAAGCCTCAGCTCCGGAGGCAGCTGTTTGCCAGCACCCTCCTTGTGCCCTGAGGGTAAGTGCCACAGTTCAGGGGGAGGTCCCAGCATTGCTCAGTTGTTGGGGAGTGGTTTGGGAGGTACCTGGAGAAGCAGTGCTGTGAAACCAGCCAGAGGCTGGTCAGTGTACAAGGAGGGAAAAGGGGTGCTCCCGCAGAGCAGGGCCTGTGTTTGGAGGTGCAGCAAAGAGGGAGTTGAGGTGAGGGGGAGGCTGGCAGCTGGAGTCCTTGCGGTCACATGAGAGGAGAGTTCCCTGTTCCCTGCTGGGGCTTGCAGGGGAAATGGAGTGTCTGCCCCGTGGCCTGAACAGTGCTGCCTGCTCTGCGAGGAGCTGGGGGAGCAAGGGCTTTGGCTCCTCTTGGGGGAAGCAGAGGAACAGGAGGGATCAGAGGGGCCCCTGCATGAGGCAGGCAGGCCAGGAACATTCCTGGACTTGCTCTCCTTTGGGGAGCCTTGGTAACTGGTGTACAAGCATTTTGGCACTGACTGACCCACTTTGCTTGGCTTCTGCAGCCCGTCTCCAGAAGAGGGAATGGGTGATGAATTTGACCTGATGGATCACTCGGATCTCTACATCCTCGACTTCAGTACGTGAGCACTCCCTGCCCAGCTTGCGCCTCGCACCACGTGGTGCACCTTGAGCAGGCCCTGATGTGCAGCACCACACCATGTCCTACGTGGCTCCAGGTGCCTGCCTCTTGGAGCCAGGGAGCCACCTCTGGCTGGGGTCTGTGGGTGAAGGCAGGCCAGCCAGAGATGCAGCTGTGCTTGTCTGAGCTGGTCTCATGGCTCTTCACGCACTCCTTCACACAGACCTCTTGTGGGAGCACAGAAAACTGCCCCAGCCTGTCGCTGGTGTGCACGCTGCCTTGGTCCTCAGAGGGGTGGCTGGGGTGCTCTGCCCAGTTTCCTCTGACACTGATTGCATGATGCTTGTACACCCCACCCCCACCCCCCGTACCATCGAGAGTAGGACTGTTGTGGCTAACTGCCCTCTTTCCACAGGCCCCAGTCTAAAGACACTGTGTAAGCTAGCAGTGATTCAGTACAGCCTGGACCAGTCCTGCCTTCCCCATGACATCAGGTACCTTGTTGGGAAGTCAGCCCATGGGTGTTCCCTGTCCTTGGGGTGCTCCAGCCCTGGCTGAGGGCTGCCTGGAGCCCTCTCCAGCACTGCAGCTCTGGGGAAGGTGGGGCTGGAGACCATCTCTGGAGCTGCACCAGCCCTGGGCACGGTGTCGGCGCTTTCCCTCAGCTTATGCCATTGGTGTGTTTCAGATGGGAGCTCTCGGCCATGACCACGAACAGCACCATCAGCCGCCCCATTGTCTCATCCCAGGGCTGACACCAGCTCATCCTTCTACCAACCTGCTCTCGCCCTTCCACACACTGACCTCTTCCTCCACTGCCTGCATGAGTTTTTAAGCCTTCCAAGCAAGGAACGTGTGAGCTCGGTTTGTCTCGCCCTAGCCAGGCCTCCCTCTGCCCTTGTCACGCTTTGGGCAGCATGAGCACACAGGCAGAGCAGGCCACCCAGGAAGAAATCAACTCACCCCAGCAGTGCAACTGTGGACCCCCCTCCTTCCTGATGGCTCCAGCATCTCCTACCTTCCTTCTTCTTGCCCGTGGAGCTGCATCCATGCTGGTGTAGTCCCTGGTCACTTTGCAAGGGCCTGAATCAACTCCTACCACCAGCCACGGCCCTGGGGTTTGCCTTGGGCTGTGAACTGTTCCTGCACTGCCTGGAGACAACAGGGACCTCCACACCTGCACCTGAGAGTGCTGACCAGCTTCCTGGCACCAGAAGCCGAGCCTGATGTGGGGGCCTGGGCCCAGCCGGACTCTCTGCCCAGCTCCTGTTGTAAAATGGCAACTGGGGGGAGTTTTATAAATGCTGAGGCAGATGCGTTTTCTCTTGCCCTGTGTCCTAGCAGGTGAACTGAAAGAAGGTGTGGGATGGGAAACTGAACCAGGTGCTTTCCCCCACAGCTGCAGGCCACTGGTGGCTTGTGGCAGCTGTGGGCTGTGCCTGGTGTGAGCCACAGCCCTGGGTGTGGTGGGAGACGGGGAGCTGGGACCCCACAGCAGCACTACCCCAGTGTCCCTGCCTGTGGCTGTGCTGCCCTTTGAGGGCAGGGAGGAAGATGGTGCCACGTCTCCCGGGCTGTGCTGCCTCAGGAAAGTGGGTGCCCCACAGCTCCCTGCCCCAGAGGGGGAGGTGGAAGGATGTCTGGGGCAGCCTCCAAAGGTGCCTGAGCCCCTTCCTGTGGAGGTGAGGTGTCTGATGGGAAGAGGAGCTCTGAAAGCAACGTGGGGGGATGTTCCCTGGGGTGTAAAGTCATAGGACAGCTGAGAGGGAGGTGGCCGTGTGCCTGGAATGGGTGGCAGAAGGCCCAGACTGTCGCCTGCCCAGAGTGCTGGCATGCAGCCAGGGTCAAGTGCTGCAGAGATGTCTGGGCTCCTCAGCCTGTGGGAGGGTGGACAATGGGACAATGCAGGCATGATGGACCAGCCTGGAGGGGTGTGGGAACAGTGAAAACCCCATGGCAAGAGAACACAAGGCACCACAGTTGCAGCAAGAGCTTGTTCTCCACATTCTGGCAGCACCTCGCTGTGGTGGGTGATGAGCATCAGTGGCAGGGCTGGGGCCTGAAGGGAGCCAAGGTGTGTTGACAGCATGTCTGGCTCAGGGAGAGCACCCCCAGCCTGGGCTCCTCTGTGGCCCTTGGGACATGCAGGTTACTCGTGAGGGCTGCGTGGGCATCTCCTGTGTGTTGTCCAGCAGCTCCAGCTCCCCTGCTCTACCAGCTGCCTCAGCCACAGGCTTTCTCAAGCTGTGCCATGAAATGATGGGTTTTGCCATGGCATGCCGTTGCCCAGCACTGAAGCACCAAGCTTACTTTTGTCATAGAGTGCCAGGCACCAGAAACCACCCACAGGTCCCCCAGGCTCACTGTGCTTGGCAGCGTGGTGCTGAGCATGGAGGCTTCTCAAGGTGCTCCTTGCCCTGTCTGTGAACAGCTGTCACTGGGTCTCCTCAGGGGAGAATCAGTCTCTGGGACATTGAGTGGAGAGAACAGGCTCTAGAAAGGCTCAATGCCCCATCCTAGCTGCCTCAAGGAGAGCAAACCTTTGTGGGGGAAGAAGGCTTTTCTGGGGAAAAAAATAAGAGGTTCACCAGAGAGAGGATCACAGGCACCCCACTCCCCTTCAAAGGTTCCCTTAGGTTCAGGGGCACTGTGGCCCTGACTCCCCTCTGCCAGGACCCTGCTGCAGACCCGGAGATGGGATGCTGCTCACCACCTTGGTTTGGATGTCTCCAGTACATCAGCGGGCAG